CCGGTTGATAATATAAATAATGTATATTAAACACGAAAGTTTAAAAATAATTGTTATTTATGAGGTTTTTAAAATGAGCTACTTACAATTTTGTTATGTAAATATACTCAAATTAAATAATACATGAAAAATTGTCTTCATAACAATTCAATGATTTAAATTGATTTTTTTTATTAATCATTGGAAGATTTTACTACTAATATTAAAATTGTTAAAAAAACACATGTACACAATAGGTGCTAAAGAAGTCCCCTGTCGAGGCTACTTTGAAGTCGAAGAAACGGCTCACATAATCCTGGAGTATGTAGCAATGGCCACATAACGAACACAAATTCTTGAAACGCTGAGGTAGCTCTGTGAAGCCAGTGAGGAGGCTTCTGTACGGTAGGAGCTTGGCTGTCTACTTTTGTAGTCTGGGCTCTACACGCACAACGGCCCAGATAACAAGCTAAATGTGTAGAATATACAATTTAATTGAATAAATCTTGAAAAAAATTCTCAACAATAATTCAATGATTTTAAATTATTTTTTTATCAAACATTTCAAAATTTTAACAACAATATTGCAATTAATTTTTTATTATTTTAATTTAAGAATAAGTAATTAAATATTTACTTTGTATAGAATAATATAGTTAATTTCCTCAATATAAATGTGTGATTTTTTTTAAAATTTCTAATCAATAATTAATTTGTTATTAGCCCGTAAAAAACATTCTAATTCCCGTAAAAGGAGATTAAATTCCTCGGTTCTAGTAATAAACAACTAAAGTGGCAACACGGACATGTCTTAGAGAGAGATAAGATTACAATCACTAACGGCGCGGCCGTCGCGTGATCCTCAGTTTGTTTTTACCAATTTAATTTCAGGGATAAACTGTTTAATCTTTATTATAATTGTTTGTGAACCAATGAAATATGTTATATGATGTTTATCAGTAGGCACAATAAATGTTGATAATTGAAATGTGAATATTTTCCACTGTATTGACGTAATAAAATTAAACTTGTTTATTATTGGAAAATAGACAAAAGGTAGTAAATAGTACACATTCTTTTCTTATCTCTGGAAAATCTAAATTATAGTTTGTTTACGTGTAGAAAATAGCAAAAACATATTATTATACATTAATCTATTTTTATATCGCCTTTGGAAATATATAATACATATTTTCATAATTTTTGTAGGTTATTTATATATTATTATTTATATTTTTTATGGAGAAATTAAGTCGTGAATAAGACCATGTGATTCGTTTCAAAATGCAATTGAGATAAATATTTTATTAAGCTGTACTCGTGACTTCGTCCGCCTGGAATGTAACAATAAAGTTAATTAGAGAATTTTTCTAAAATAAAAGTAGCCTAAATTACAACTTATTACATCAGCTACCTGTCAATAAAAGTCCCGTCGAAAACTGTCCAGCCATTTTAGAGATTAGCCGGAACAAACAGACAGACAGGCAAAAATTGTAAAAAATGTTATTTTGGTGTATGTATCGTATTTATATTCATATGCATGTAGTAAAAAACTTATTATTTCAATATTACAAACAGACACTCCTATTTCATTTATATATATATATAATACTGAGGATAGAAATATTTTGTTCTTAATACATACCCCTATTACGAAAATTGAGAAATAATATTATTTTTGCTATTAATCTTATTAATATTACAAACGCGAAAGTGTGTGAGTATGTTGGTTGTTTGTTACTCTTTCACGCAAAAACTACTGAACGTATTTTTAGAAAACTTTACAGTAATATAATTTACAAAATTTTATGTGAATACAAACAGCCAAATAGCAAACTTGACGTCTTACCTTAATAATATTATAAACTTGAAAGTTTGTAGGTATGAATGTTTGTTACTCTATCACGCAAAAACTACTGAACGGATTAGATTTAAATCATATATTTTATTAAATAACATATATTTCATAGTATTAACATCGCGCATACTGCCATGATGCGCTCGTCATCCCACTGCGGCTGCGCGCGCCGTGCAATATTCTGCATCTGTGGCGCATTACGTTTGCGCGGGAAAATAAAAGAATACAAAATGGCTTCTTCTGCAGACACACTGATAAACTGTTGTACTCCTGATTCCTAATTGTTTTATACCGTTCTGCATAATTTTATATGTCTGTAACTTACTTTTAGTTGAATATACTACTTTTATACAACAAAACCTGTATATAAATACATACCTACGCTACACCCTACACCTATTTTTTTTTCCCTTTTTTTTGTTTCACAGTTTTTTTTAACGTATATATTTTGATTTATTTTAAATCTTAGACTCCCGCTGCGATTTGATACAGGGGAAGTTTTTAATAGAAGTTTTCACTGTAGGGATATATATTATATTATACATATTTTCATAATTACACATATATTATACATAAAATATTATAAAACGTACGCTAACAATAAAACTTTACAGTAATATCTAAATATATATAACTCAAAGGTGACTGACATAGTGATTTATCAACGCACAGCCCAAACCACTGGACGGATCGGGCTGAAATTTGTAATGCAGGTAGATGTTATGACGTAGGCATCCGCTAAGAAAGAATTTTGATTAATTCTACCCCCAAGGGGATAAAATAAGGGATGAAACTTTGTCAATTTTAAACCGATCGGGCTGAGACTTTGCATGCCCAAAGTTATATGTATACATAAAGTAATATTATGTTCTCTGTGCTATGACGTAGGCATCCCCTAAGAAAGGAGTTTGATAAATTCCACCCTTAAGGGGATAAACTAACGAGAGCGAATCCGCGGGCAAAACCTAGTAGTTTATAAGTCAGAATAACATAAAGACAATAAATTTCATGTGTATATAAATTATTTTGCCTTTAGTGACACAAGTTACACAGGCTTTTATGACTTACAACCGGTTAGCTGAGATTTCGCATGCATAAACTTGCGTATTCTTGAAATAGAACTCTTTAAGAAAATAAAATAAATACAAAATGTAATTAGTCTGAAGTTGTGATAAAGTTATAGTTAATTGTGAAAAATTGTAACTAATTAATGTACAGACAGACACATAAACTATTCACATTCGTAATATTACAATGATGACTAATTAAGCAATATCAAAAGGAACCAACTTTTTTAATAAAAGTATTTTTTTTTCAAAATTCAAAAATCATTTATTCATGTAGGATATGGGACACAGTTACCTAGATACATCAAAATAATAATTGCATTTAATAATATCTAGTAAGACAAATTCAATATTGTCTACTAAGCACTGCTGTATCTAAACTGTGTCACCCCACCTTACATTTTCCTATTGTTATTTATTATATAAGATCATTATTTCTATGTATTGACAATATGCAATTTCTTACCATCTGTAATATACATCCTCTCGACCAACAACATCGTATATTCACCCGCAACATAGGACATTTTAGCCGCTTATGAACGTCAGGTTTTTACATTATAATTTATTTTTCCCTACCGTCCAGTTCGGTATATAGATCCAATTGAGAACTGGCAAGAAACTCAATTGAATTACTTTTTTTATTATACAAACAACTATTTAATAAAATACAAAAACCATGTCAATACTTCTATATCACTTCCAGACGGTAAGCATTCTTTCACACATACATTTGTCTACGCACTCAACGCACCGCTCCGCGGGCTGCGTGGGCGGTGCTGCGCATCGGCAACTGCGGCCAGTGGCGGACACCGGCACTTCTTGTCCGACCGGCATCGACACTTACCGGCTTACAAATAATCCCTCCATTCTAAATTTTATCTGAATCTGTCCGTTGTTCATAACAGTTTTTATATTAAACCTATTAATACAGTCCACTAGTTTCATTGGCTATCCAGGACGTAACACATTACATTTCGACAGCCTCGATGGTCTAGTGGTTTAGCACACCGCTTTACTATCCGATGGTCGTGGGTTCGATTCATTTTGTATTCATGAGTATGATTGTTTGTATCGATCTGGTTATTTTATATGTATAATATGTATGTATTTACGAAAAATAAATATATCTATATATTTATATCAGTTGTCTAGTACTCATAACACAAGCTCTAGCTAGCTTAATTTGAGTCTAGATGGCGCTGTTTGCTTTGTCCTGAAAAAAAATATATAAATGCGAGTGTCGACCGTAAGCACTAACGCAAATTGAAATTAATCTTGCAGATTGCGTTTAGAAATAAAATAAAAAAAAAACAAAAACAGTGACGTCGAGTTCATGTGACGTAATGGAACTGACCTAGGTACGTTTAGAGGCGCGGCCATTATGCTACGTCACCTACTCGCATCTCTAAAAATGACGCTACTCTATGGTGACGCTTACCTGCATACCTACAAGGCTACAACACGTCACGTAACATTGTTGATTTTCTTTTTTATAGTTGCCATATAGCAGGCAAAGGTGTATAGATCATACAGCTAGTTCTTCACATGCATTTTTTTCCTTAATTATATACATGACACGACACATTTTATATCAGATAGTAGCTTCCGTTCGGGGTTTTACGCGTGACCATGATGAAGTGATAAAGTGATATTTATTATATTTGCATACATATAAGTGATCTTATATCTATATATGCACTGTATTGTACCAGATACAGAAAAAATATAACTAAGCAATTTCTTATAAATATAAGTCTTATAAATATTTGTCATTTTTACATCTTCCGCTGTCTGTTCGCTTAGATCTTTTAAACTGCGTAACGGATTTTAATGCATTTTTTAGCAATAGATAGAGTGACCCGTGCGAAGCCGGGGCGGATAGCTAGTTTTAAATAAAGTAAATTCTTTCAATAAAATCTGATTGATAAATAAAAGGAAATAATATTTGACGTCAAATCTCTCGAAGATTACTAGATACACATACATTTTATGATTCGTATTAAACAACAAATTTAAATAAAAACTATTTTATCACATATAAATCAAGTAAAAAGTTTGACAGTACTAACTGACTTTTGCAATTGCTATATAACTAATGTCTCTTTTATAAATCATATTATTATAGAAACCTTTAAATTCCTTATGGTAAGCAAATACGATGGGGTACCATAGACCGAGTAAGAATAACAAAAAGAGTATTAAAGCAGATGTTATTATACTTGGATGCAGCCTCCCAGGAATCGTCACAGCACACAAATTAAAAAGGAAATTCGGTGATACAATGGCAATCGTGGTACTTGACTTAGTTGGACCATCGAGAACACCTTCTAAATGTAATGTCGCCTTTCTAGAAGACTTCGATGATGACACTACAGAATTAGAAGAAGATAATACAGTTAAACAAGTAGCAGATAATGTTGCCCGACATTACATCACTATGTACTCTAAAGACTTCAATATACCACTGCCAGATGCTATATTAATGCCAGAAAATACTAAAACGAAACTGAGCAAGTTATTTCAACACCTAAATGGGAGTACAGTTGAGTGTCTGAGCGATTATCATGATTTCGATTATTTGAATATAATGGAGAGATTTGAACTTAATCAGTATCAAGCGCTTCTAGATCAATCTGTTATAGACGTTTTTCAGACTAATAGATCAGACACTAAAATTAATAGAAAGAGACTATTGTACTATGATAAGACTACTATGGAACGGCACATTTGTGATGCATTATTGTTTTCTACTTCAAGGGAAATTATGCGGACTATTGTCAGGTTGGTTTGTGGTGCACCACCAGATACTATCTCTGTCCTTTTCTACCTTCACCAGTGTTACAGAACCAGCAGTACAAGAAATCATTTAGATGGAGACAACACAAGGTTCCGTGAGAAACTTTTGGGGTATTGCAGGCAAAGATTATCTAGCAAATTACAGAAAAGTATAGCAGATATTACAATGCCAACTAAAAGTATTAAGGAAATTCGCACATACTCCGACGAACAAGTTATTTTAGAAACGATGAAAGGAGACACTAACTACGTTTGCAATCTATTAGCTATGGCATTACGACCTGATCAGCTCCTTAAAATTAAATTTGAAGACCAGTTGCTGACGAAAGAACAGGCTTCTATAACAAGTCAAATGAGTGAAGGTCGAGCTAAAAAGTTTTTGATTCAATATGAGCAGAATATTTGGAGACCTCAAGGTTACAGTGGCGATATTTTAAGTATACAAGGTCCTATAATATGGGCTATGGAAAAGCCAAAACTATCTACAACTGGAAGTACTGATAAATATGCAGCTATTGTTGGTTATTTGATGGTAAGAGATAGTGATGACGATGATGATTCAAAAGATGCTGTGATAGCTCAACTGGTTAAATTATTTGGCGAAGAGGCAGCGAATCCTGTAAACTACAAAGAGACGAATATAGCCGATGTTTTTGTTCCACGTTGTGGTGATTACGTTGCTCTGAGAAAATTCACTAGTGGAGGTCGTACTGGATTTCTAGAATGGGGTGCATTAGATATTTTTGCAGATGGAGATGTGGCAGCTTCTTTAGAAGCGGGTCACACTGCGTATCTACATTTATTAAGTTGTTTGCGACCTCAAGCCCAGACATATGAAGATGTTAGCACCGCGGAGTGGCCTACGTTATTGAGACATGGACCATTTGAAAGGTGGCTGGCTGAAATAAACTGCAAGTCTGGTATACATTTTTTTGTGTACACAGCTGCAATTTGCATCGGTTTACATTTGATACGAGCGTATATGAGAAAATGAAGTAAGAAAACAAGAATATTTTTTATTTATTAAAAGAATTTGTTATATAGTTTTATATTTTTGTTTTCTTTTTATATTTATTCTTATTATTGATTGAGAATCAATTTTGTATTGTTTTAGTTGAATAAAATGTTTATCACTTCTGTATTTAATGTTTATTATTTAAGTAGATATTTTCAATCGATTCAGGTTTCTTATTTCTTAAAGTTATTTTCGTAAACGGAAGACATCTTCTTATATATAAAATTCTCGTGTCACAGTTTTCGTTCCCATACTCCTCCGAAACGGCTTGACCGATTCTCATGAAATTTTGTGAGCGTATTGAATAGGTCTGAGAATCGGCCAATATCTATTTTTTATCCACCTAAATGTTAGGGGTAGTCCATCCCTAATTTTTTTTTTATTTTAAGACAAAACAACGTTTGCCGGAACAGCTAGTTGTAGATAAAAATGGAACACTATTAATGTATAATTTAACATTGAAATAGAGTTCCAGTTTTAACAGAGTCGATCTATAAATATCTAAAATATATATTTTTTTATCTATAAATGCCTTAATATATGCGCGCTATAAAAGGTCAGACTATCATAGGTATATCCATGTTTATTTATATGGAATATTTATTGCATCATTTAACTTATATATTAACCCTAACATAGATTTTTTTGGGCACTAATACATATTACTTTGTAATATATATTTTAGAGTTCTGATGCCATAAAAGTATTCGGCGGATATGAATATTGTTCTCGTGAGTAATGTACTAATATTTTCTTAACTTAAGTTGGTACAAGATTCTGCAATACATAATTTTGATGTATAATGCCTTTCTGTTTTTTTATTTATTTATTTATAATCACAAACAATTGTTACAATCAATTTACTTATTTATATAATGTATTTCTACCTGACTTTTGATTATTGATATTCCAGGAATAGAGTTAGGAGTGACTAATTTAAAAGAACGCCGTTTAAATTTATATTGGCAAATTTACAGATTAGCTACATTTGCTTTTACATAAACGCATATTTTTATAATGTGAGAGAATATAGTATTATTTATTTTACAACTAGTTTAAATTATTATTATAATAATTATATATGTACTGTATATAATAAACAGGAGTAGTAGTTGTATAGATAACTAGATTACTTTGTCTGTGTACAAAAATAATATAGATTTTACTTGATTCACATTTACATAGTATCATATATTACACGAAATAGATATTTGTTATGTGCAAACATTTGTATTCATGAGTATGATTATTGGTATCGGTTTGGATGTATTTTATTTATATTTTACTAGCTGTGCCCAGCGGTTTCACCCTTATGAAATTTATAGCCTATGTATTTATTCTATAGGTATAAGTAGAGTTTCGTAAAAAAACTTTTGAGTAGATTTTGCGTGAAATAGTAACAAACAATCATCCATACTTTCAAACTTTCTTGTTTATAATAATAATAATCTCAGGACAACTTACACAGCGCCATCTAGACCCAAGTTAAGCTAGCTAAAGTTTGTGTTATGGGTACTAGATAACTGATCCAAATACATAGATATATATTTTTCGTAAATACATAAATATTGTACATAGAAAATACCCAGACCGATACAAACAATCATCATATTCATAAATACAAATGTTTGTGCCGTGCGAGGAATCGAACCCGCGACCATCGGAAGTAAGGCGGTGTGCTAAACCACTAGACCATCGAGTGTCAGTTATATCAGTTGTCTAGTACCCATAACACAAGCTCTGCTTACCGTAGGACTAGATGGCACTGTCAATTGTTTAGTGTTATTTATTTATTAATATTACTGTTCCTTATCATGGATAGTTTTCCAGAAACTTTCTCTTGATATCAATAGATGATTAAAAGGCGGATAACCATGATGACAAGGCACGAAATGGACATAAATTAGAATTACCAAGATTACGACTTGCAAAAACAATAAAACAAGGAATCGTCTTTGGAATGCTCTGCCAACGGAGGTCAGATTGTCTTCATGGGTTTACACTTTTAAGGCTCGCCTTAAAAAACTTTGGAGTCACACTGCAGATGCGCTGCTTTAGTATTCTTCATATTTTTTTTTATATAGTAGTATTGTTTTTTATATATTTCTGCTGTTACTATTTATACATTTGTTACTTTCTGCTGCTGCTGTCCCCAAGTATCGTTTAGAAAAAGTCAATAGGTCTTTTATGGGAATAGGTATAAAATTTTACAATACCAAAGGACCCTTAAATAAATTCAAAACATCTGTTAAATCATATTTACTGAGCAAGGCATATTACTCACTAAACGATTACTTGAATGACGAGCGTGCATGGCAATAGTTTTCATGTTCGGGATTTTCATTTAATGTTAGACATAGACACCTATATAAATACCTATGCATTGTAAATAAACTGGATTAAAAAAAGAAAAGTAATTCAATTGAGTTTCTTGCCAGTTCTTCTCAATTGGATCTATATACCGAACTGGACGGTAGGGGAAAAAAAATATAATGTAAAAATTTGACGTTCATAAGCAGCTAAAATGTCCTACATAAATAAATGATTTTTGAATTTGAATTTTAAAGTTATATATTATTTAATTAATTATTTTGAATATTTAAAATTGTAATTGTGACATAATTATCTTAAAAATGTTTATTTGATAATTACTATTGACGTGCTATTGTGTAACGAGATTTGTTACATTTTTGAATAAAATAATATGAAAATATGATATGATTTCATATCTCACGTATTACTACTTCAGCATAGAAACAGATAAGAAGGATCATTACGTATTGAGTAACAGTATTGTTAGACTTACAATGAGAATCATAGGCAGTTTTACATTTTTTTTATCCATATTTAAAATATGAGTGTTCATTATTTACAATTTATTTTATATCACTTCTGACTGTAATAAACGTCTATACATTACTCTTTTCATCATTTATTAGCTGTTCCCGCGACTACGTCCGCGTAGAATTTAACGTTATTTATTTAATTTTTTTTTTCTAAATATTTTTTAAAATAAAAGTAGCCTAAGGTACTCCTTATTACATCGGCTACCTGCCAAAAGCCATTTCAGAGATTAGCCGGAACAAACAGACAGACAGACAAAAATTGTAAAAAATGTTATTTTGGTGTATGTACTAACTGAACTAAAATATCGCCAAATTATTCCAAGTTTCAATAAAAAAATATCTACAGTTATAATCATGTCTTTTTGTAATAACAGGGTATCTAATTCTAGTTTATAAAAAAATTAAGTAATTTTTTTTTTTAATAAATTAAGATTAGAACATTTAAACTTTAAAATTTAAATAAAATATATTCATTGTTAACTAAAACAAATATTTTAAAATCTAAATATTCTTTATTGCACTTAAATACATTTGTAAGTATATTAATTACATCTAATGTTAACAACGACCTATCTCTAATAATAATAATAATAATAATAATAATAATTTTTATTTCAGACAACATGATCCATTGTGTTAGTAACAGCTTAATGACATAATGACATAACTTATCCTATGTTAGTAATAAAATATATAATAAAATAAAAATGTAACTTTTAACATATTACCTGTCCCACCCAGTGTTTTAGAATGGGACAGTCTACTTTACAAGCAATTGTCTTCAGGACAGTGTCTAAAAGAGATCTCTTCCAGTCAACCCAATAGAGCGTGGCATAGGAAGTGTTGAGTGGGTTAAAATGTGCAATTAATATTTTTTATGAAAATGTCAAAAATAATTAAAACTAAACATTAAATTTGTCTCAATTTATAACATGGTAGACGCAGAGTTGAATGACCACCCACCACCAGACACTGATGTGATTGACTTGAATAATGTCTTAAAGATAATTCGATTATTCAAAAATAGAATAGAGAAATAGCAAATTTAAGAATAATTTGCTATTAGAATATATTTTTTGTCGTATTAACACACCATACTGTGATGTCGATTAAGAAATAGAAATAGAAATAATACAAGTACTATTGAATAGTCATATATTTTTTTTCTACCACTTAATTGGAACGCAGACTTTTCACAAGAGCTGGAAGTTTCCAGCGTGTTGTTCCTGTTGTTCAGAATTACATTTTTAAGAATACAAACTGCCAAATATCAAGAGTTTTATTTTTGTTATGGATGATAATGGAATGGTGCTCCCGCCTGCGCTAACGGTTTACGCTGGCGGGGCACCAGTGGAGAATGATAAGATGAACATGAAGTCAGGTCAGTTAGCCCATCATGACAAATTCACCAAGAATTTTTCACGAAGGTTTCCAGGGGGAACCGCGTGGAGGTCAACCTGATATGGTACATTGCTACTCGTAGTAATGGGGTCATGAGTCCACATTACTAACAATCCCATCCCCCCAATATCAAGGGTAAACATAAATAAAAAATGAAATGAAGAATTTACATGTATTGTGTTGTTAAAAAAACATTAATTTTACATTATTACTTGTAGTAGTGATTTATCGCTAATTACTTTTCTTCCATATAAATATTTATTATATGGTTTATTTTGATATAACCATTTTAATATTTATTTGCTGGAACGATTTGTTTGATTTGTTACGCGATTGTTTTAATGAAGTTGAAATAACCAATTATAATTATAATAACAGTTTCGTCCAAATATGCTATAACCATGTCGAATATATATTTTTTTAAATTTAAAGGTATTCAGCTCATTGGTGGCCTTGGTGACCTAGCGGTACTCATCTTACTAACGCGCCACAGCATGATGGTCGTGAGTTCAATTATTCGAACGATAAATGGTTTATTCATTATAAAAAAAACAATTACAATTAACAATGAAATTATCGGGCTACTCAAACAAATACTTCAATAGACTACTGCTATTGAGTAAAAACAACATATGCATGATGACTAGGGCCCTCACAGGACATTGCAAATTAAACAAGCATATGGCTATACTAGGCCTATGCACGACAAAAATCTGCAGATTCTGCCAAACTGAAGAGGAAACGCCACTACACATCCTATATTGTTGTAGCCCACTCATGCATAAACAAAATATCTCCTTTGGAAAGTTTACACTCTTTCCCGAGGAGATAAAAACCATCGCTCCTAAGAATATCCTTCAATTCTTGTCCCTGACGGCTCTAGGTAGCGAACTTTGAAAAAGGGCGAGCACAATAGATCTATGTAGGTCGCAGTGCTACAGGTGCTACAAACATCTGACAATAGCCCAAACAACCCAATAAAAAAATAGCAGTGAAGGATTCAGGCGTTCCTTTATAAATGGATACTGCTCACGCCATCCTTTGTTACCTTATCATTATTTTTTAATTTTGGTTTTCATAAATACATAATTTTCCTAATAAACTTGTTTAATAGAAAGGAGCAGATCAATCTAGACCCGGCTGTATACTTCACTGGTTTATTAATTAGGTTTTCATAGATACATAACTTTAAAACACTTGGTTTACAGAAAGGACCAGATCAATGTAGATAGATGTAGATATACCTCTTAGAGAATATTGAATCTGTGACTGTATAGAAATGATGTAGTGCTAAAACGCTAACCGCTAAATTCTGCCAGTGGTCTAGCCAAATTGTCAATAAACATAGTTTGTCTAGTTAAATCTAAATTATCTTTTCTATCGGAACAGACAAGCACACAACTTCCGTTGACGTCACCGCGTCTGCGGTTTTTAGGATAGGAAGTTGTCCATGCTCTGTTAGTTTAAAGAAAAAGCGCAATATTCATCAATAAATTAACTTCCTTGAGTACTTTTTAAGATCTGAATTACCTAATCATTAATCGAAATAATAGAAGGAAGAGAACTTACACTATATCGTGGATAAAATATCCACATCTCTTTTGGACTGTAACCAAAGTGAATAAATTCAAATTCAAATACAAAAATCATTTATTCATGTAGGATATTTTAGTCGCTTATGAACGTCGATTTTTGTAGACTATATTTTTTTCCCTACCGCCCAGTTCAGTATATAGATCCAATTGAGAAGAATTGGCAAGAAATTAAATTGTATTACTTATTTTCTTTTTAAATGCTATTTTATTTACAATGTATATTTATATAGATGTCTATGTCTAATATTAAATGAAATTTGTGAATCATAAATAACTATCCTTGCACGCTCGTCATTCAAGTAATCATTTAGAGAGTAATAGGTTTTGCTCAGTAAATATGATTTAACAGTTAGTTTGAATTTATTACCCTTAAATCCAATATATCTTTTGGTAGCTTATTGTAATTTTTTGTACCTATTCCAATAAAAGACCTATTGCATTTTACTAAACGATACTTGGGGACAGCAAGTTTGTCTTTAAATCTAGTATTAATATTAGGTAACAATAATAATAAATTATATTATTAATTAATTTTCATACTAGCTACTAGCCCCAGCTTCGGACGGGTGTACATGTATCATATATAAACCTTCCTCTTGAGTCATTCCATCTATTTAAAAAAAACCGCTTCAAAATCCGTTGCGTAGTTTTAAAGATTTAAGCATACATAGGGACGGACAGATAGCGACAGCTACTTTGTTTTATACTATTAATACTATGTAATAATGATCATATTTTTTTTATGGATGATAAAGGAATGGTGCACCCGCCTGCGCCAACGGTTTACGCTGGCGGGGCACCAGTGGAGGATGATAAGATGAACATGAAGTCAGGTCAGTTAGCCCATCGTGACAAATTCACCAGGAATTTATCATGAAGGTTTCCAGAGGGACCGCATGGAGGTCATAAGTCCACATTACTAACAATCCCCCTTAAATTCCTGGTGAATTTATCACGATGGGCTAACTGACCTGACTTCATGTTCATCTTATCATCCTCCACTGGTGTCCCGCCAGCGTAAAACGTTAGAGCAGGGGGGTGCATCATTCCATTATCATACATATAAAAAAAAATCCCCCATAATAATCATATTGTATGTACGTTGTTGTATTCAAAATCATATTAAACAATGACACTCATGACACACACAAATAAAGTATAATAATAATGATTACATAACAATGCACATTACTTAGTAGCGAAGGCAGTGGAAAGTGAATTTCACAAGAATCGAACCCGTGCGATAGCCACATTTAAATGTTATGCACCATTCATTGCAGAGTTGCGTGCGTGATAGTGACCTACAAACACACTGCCATTATTTCTAGTGCGCACCAGCATAATCGGACATGTGACAATTAACTGCTACAGTTAGTAGGTATTTATGTTAAACTATAATTTAACAAATTATATGACACCAGCTACCCGCTCCGGCTACATACATTAGGGTTCATTCTTCTCGACTCGAGAATTCCCGGGAAATCAAGCTCGAGAAAAGTCGAGAACTCGAGAAATCATGTACCTATATAGAAATTAAATTGCCGTTTGCTTTGTTGCGTGGCGGCGCAATAATTTAAGATATTAAGGTTTTCTTTCATGTAATTTTTTTTTATTTTATGGACACTATTTTTGATTAGAATTTTTTTCTAAATAACTAGTCAAAGATGGTGCTGTCATTATAAATATAAGTCTGAATAATATTAGGTCCTAACATATGAAGTTGGCGTTTTGTAAGGGAGTAACCTGAAGTTTTTTTTTTCAAAATATAATAATGTAAAGTATGTACCATTGCTATTTACGTACTTTTGCCATCTCATAGGAATTTCATTAATCCCTTTACTAAAAAAACCTTTTGGACGGAAATCAATAAAATCTTTGAAGACAGTTTGAACTGCCCCATCGGAGTTGAATTTTTCCCAATCAGTCATCCAAATTTCGAAATAAATGGTAATCTGTTGGAGCAAGGTCCGGGGAGCCGTACCGTACGGTAGACATTACAATTGAAGCTCTTCTAATTTGGTAACTGTCTGTTGTGCAGTGTGTGATCTAGCGTTGTCCTGAAGCAGCAGTGGCCTACGGCAATTGACCAGCCTCGGTTGTTGAGCACCTAACTTTTCCTATGGTTTCTCAATTGCTGACAATACACATCTGCCGTAATCGTCTGGGCAGATTTAAGAAAGCTGAAGTGAACAACAACGGAACTAGTCTACCAAACGCTCGCTAAAAAATTTTAATTTACATTTTGCCTCTTTTCCCTTATATTTCCTTATCATCTATTCCTATTTCTATTCTATTTGCTATTCTTACTTTACACTTGTTCTATTGTAACCGACTGTATCGTCACTATACATCGTAATCTGTTGATATGTTAGATATTAAGTTGTTAACCATTACACTTATCACAAGAATATATGTAATAATAATAATAATCTCAGGACAATTCACACAGCGCCATCTAGACCCAAGTTAAGCTAGCTAAAGCTTGTGTTATGGGTACCAGATAACTGATACAAATACATAGATATATCTTTTTGTTGATCCTTAAAATTATATCAAATTATACTCTGAACTATTTACATTATTTTTATTATACACACACCGCACAGACAATCACTAATAATATTGCTCCTTTTTATTTTATATTTATTTTAATTATTATTTTCACGTACCCTCAAATGGGTTGAAGCTGAAAATCAGTGTTTTGTTCCCTGAACAATGTTCCACGCTGAGCTTCGACCTTTTTGTATTGCTACAGATCACACATAAAACACAATTTTATAAATCTTATTGTTATGAAACCTCTTTTTAGTTTAATTTTTATATTTAAAAAGTAATGTATTAAAAAATTATTATTGCAAAAAAGTGACATTATATTTTTCTTTCGGAATTTCCTAAAATATTTTATTTCTATATATAAATCCATTCGTCCTATGTACCTGCTGTCCCAGAACCTATTATCATATATTATATATCACAACATCATCGAATTATCCAATCCATCACATTATGGCGACCGTGAGCGAAATGGACCAGGTACAACTACTAAGGAAAGTGGTACGTCGTCGTTTTACTATGTGCGCTAAAAAAATAGAAGAATATCTAGACAAAAAAGATAAAGTTGGTATGTCTTCGGAGATAATAAATATTACTAAGATTTTCGACGAGCTAACGTTACTACAAAATAGATTGATGGATCTATGGTTGAATATGGAACAGCGAGACGAGAATTTTTTTGATAAGGATCTAGAATCTTCAGAAGCTTACAATAGTCAATTCTATTTATTGAAGCACAAGGTCAGTGAATATTGTAGTCATACCGTATCCCGCTCTTCGGCATCTGACACTGTAGTAAAAGCGGATAGTGAGGGTGGAGAGACTTCTCAAAGACATCGTCGCCACTTTCGCCTTCCCAAACTCCAGCTGGCAGGATTTAACGGAGAGATAAAAAGCTGGATACCCTTCTGGACTCAGTTTAAGAAGATTGACGCTGATAGTGACATAGACGACGAAGATAAATTTCAATATCTCTTGCAAAGTATTGAGACAGGTTGTAGTGCCAGAGATCTAGTGGAAAGTTTTCCTCCGTCGGCCGAAAACTACCCTAAGGTGATACAGCAGCTCAAACAAAGGTATGCAAAAGACGAACTTATAATTGAACATTATGTTAGAGAGTTATTAAAATTAACTATTGTTCAAAGGAAAGATAACTGTAAGATGTCCACTCGTACTCTATATGATAAGTTAATGACACAAATTCTAGCTTTAGAGTCTCTTGGTGTTACGCAAGACAAATATGCCGCCTTTTTATTTCCAATGGTGGAGTCAGCGCTGCCAGAAGACATATTGCGAGCATGGAATAGGTATCAAATAAACGTCACTACTGATGATAAAGGTAAAAGTCAGTTGACACAATTGTTACATTTTGTTCGTAATGAAGTAGAATCTGAAGAAAAAATTAATTTATCACGAGGAGGCTTTGCAAACGTGGATCCAAATCCAGTAATTCCTTCTGCCAGTTTTTTAACTACATCTATAAGGAATAAAGAAAAAACTATTGTACATACTAATAATGAAATAAGAGAATGTGTGTGGTGTGCAAAATCAACGCATAATAGTTCGGAATGCAAGACACCGATCAAATGGAATTTAGAGGAGCGAAAAGATTTTCTAAAAAAGAAGAATTCCTGTCTGATATGTCTTATAACTGGACATCATGCGAAGAAATGTAGGAAATATCCTAAATGCGTCATCTGTGAGAAGAGACATTACCCAATTATGTGCGTAGAATTACAAAAGTCAACAAAAAAGAGTGAAGATGAAAAGTCAATGCTCAAACAGTCGACAAAACAGAGTACTGTTCTATTGCAAACCGTCAAGTTACATTTATTTCACGAAGATCAAGTTGTTACAGTAAGAGCTCTACTAGATTCAGGTGCTCAACGCTCTTTTATTAGATCTGATGTAATTGACAAACTAAAGATTGTACCTACAGGCAATGAACACCTAAGGCACAATTTATTCGGAGGGGTAGTGACTAAATTAGAGAACCACAGATTATTTACGCTAAACTGTAAAAGTCTTGATAACAAATATAAACTACAAATAGAGGCACTCGAGCAAAAGAAAATATGCGATAATTTGCCAAAGGTGAAACCAGGTATACTTTTGTCACAACTACAAGCAAAAGGTATAAATATTACTGATTGTGTTGATGAAGTGACTGAGATTTCTTTACTAATTGGTTCTGATGTTTTAGGTTCGCTGTACACTGGGCGATCAGAACATGTGAGTGATAATTTAGTGGCAATCGAGACGAAATTTGGTTGGGTAATTCAGGGACCTACTTCCGGTATGTATTCTATTTTTACTTCAGTACACGCTTGTTCATTTGATATTGATGACTTGTGGAAACTAGAATCCATAGGTATTAAAGATGAGGCGCAAGTAAAAAGTATTAGGAAACGCGAGGAAGAAGTCGAGAATTTCTTTCGAGAAACTATAGTCAGAAATGATGAGGATAGGTACGAAATTAAATTACCATGGAATGATACAGCTGATTTATTATCTCCTAATTATAATTTAGCTTTAAAACGTCTTCATTCAACTACCAATAAACTCAATAAACTAGGCTTATTGACAGCTTATGATGAAGTGTTTGGAGAATGGTTAGATAGTAATATAATTGAAGAAGTTGTAGATGATAATCCGCAAATTGGCCATTATTTACCTCATCAGGTCGTTGTTAAAGACTCTAGCCTTACCACGAGAATTCGTCCGGTATTCGATGCGTCTGCAATTACTAAAGAAGGTGTTTGTCTTAATGCTTGTCTCAAAAAAGGAAGTAATCTTATAGAATTAATACCCAAATTACTTATTCAATTTAGGAAGGGCGCTATAGGTATTACTGCCGATATAAAGAAGGCTTTCCTACAAATATCTATTCATCCAGATGACCGTAAATTTCTCAAATTTTTGTGGTGGAATAATCCCAGTAGCGCAGATAGAAAACTAAAAGTTTTTAGGCATCGTCGCGTAGTATTTGGTGTTACGACAAGCCCTTACCTCCTGTCAGCTACAATACTGTACCATCTTGAGAAATACGAATGTGAAACGGCCAGTTTATTGAAGAATAGTTTTTATGTTGATAACTGCATTGTTAGTGTGAATAATGAAGTCGAAATGGAGAAATTTATCAACGAAGCTTTAAATATTATGAATGAAGGTAAGTTTGAGTTACGTTGCTGGGTGACTGGTCCTACTCTAGATATAAATCAAACAGACACTTCTGTGTTAGGAGTAACTTGGAATTCACAAACAGACGAATTGTATTGTAAAGTTCCATTTTTAAAACAAATTGATACAAAACTTACTAAACGAGTACTATTATCGATGGCTCAGAGCATTTTTGATCCAATCGGGTTTCTTTGTCCTACTACACTGATACCAAAATTGTTAATACAAAAGTGTTGGGAAAGGACAATGGACTGGGATAAGGAACTTACTCTCGAATTAGAAAAGTCTGCAAAAGAATGGCTCCAACAAGTATCATCAATTGAGAAATGTCGCATTCCACGAAGATTGAGCAAGTGTAACCTGTCTGATTGTAACAATACCATTCATACCTTCAGTGACGCAAGTCAATATGCTTATTCTGGTTGTGTCTTCTTGAGGTCAGAATAGGCTGGTATAGTAACAGTGCAACTTGTGCTTGCTAAAGCGAGGGTTACACCAGTAAAGCCCATCACTATGCCAAGACTGGAACTTATTGCAGCCTTATTAGCTACTCGATTATGTACAGAAGCAAAATATGCATTGCAATTAAACTGTAAAGAGTACTATTGGACTGATTCCAGCATTGTGTTAGCATGGATTAGACGGGGAATTGGTCTTAATGTTTTTGTGCACAATAGAGTTAAAGAGATTACAGATAGGAGTCACGTAGATGATTGGCATCATGTGCCTGGTGAACTCAATCCAGCTGATCTTCCATCAAGGGGTTGTAATGCTGAAAATCTTTTTAAAAGTCGTTGGTGGGAAGGTCCAGATTGGCTTAAGAAATCCCAAGAACTTTGGCCTTATTGTGAAGTACCTCCTGATGAAAGTGAAGTTAATAAAGAAATAAAGAAAACATGTTTAACTATCCAGGAAGTTTATAGATTTACTGACAGATTTCTTTATTTTGGAAAATACTCAAAAATTGTTAGAACTGTAGCATGGTGTTTAAGATTTAATAAATACGATTGTAATAGACAGAATAAGAAGGATATTACTGCAGAAGAGTATGAAAAAGCAGAAAATCGGTTATTATGTTTAATACAAAGAGAGACATATGGAGATATCGATGAAGTGAAAACAAGACTTAAGTTGGATATATTTAAAGACAGTAAGAATATTATTCGTGTAAAAACAAGATTAACACTAAGTGGTGATACAGAAAACTTCGTAACTCCGATGTTATTGCCTGGAACAAATTCAATAGTGAAGCGACTTGTTCATCAGAGCCATGTTCTTGGTCTTCATACTGGAACTCAAACTCTAATTAATATATTAAGGGAAGAATATTGGATAGTTGGTATTAGAAAATTAGCAAAAACTGTCGTACGTGAATGCATTATATGTAAACGGCATAACGTTAAAGCTTGTACTGTACCTTTAGCCCCGTTACCTGCTGACCGCGTAACATGTGGAGTACCCTTTGAAGTAACAGGAGTTGATCTAGCAGGACCGCTATATCTTAAATCAGGTGATAAGTGCTGGATAGTAGTATTTACTTGTGCTACTTACCGAGCCTTACATCTGGAATTATGTTCTTCACTTAGTACAGAAGAGTTCCTTTTATCCTTAAGGCGCTTCATTGCTAGAAGAGGTAGGCCCAGAATCATATATAGTGACAATGGCACTAATTTTCGAGGGACGAACAATATCTTATCGACCGTTAATTGGGATGACGTTTCTTCCAAAATATCAATCCAAAAAATATCATGGCACTTTATTCCACCTCAAGCGCCATGGTGGGGTGGATGGTGGGAGCGTATGGTTCGTACTATAAAAGAAATTTTGAGGAGAGTTTTAGGCAAAGCTGCTCTGTTAGAAAAGGAATTGTTTACTGTACTTTGCGAAACAGAAGCTGTCATTAATTCACGTCCTCTGACTTATATAGTAGATAGTACTGAAAATTTTAAAGCTCTCACTCCAGCTATGTTTCTTAAGGTAGGCAATACTTCTACGTTTGATTTAAACCAAGTTAAATCACCTAACCTTACTACTCGTTATAGTTATATCGAAAAAATTAATACAGATCTACAACAAAGATTTCGGTCAGAATATTTATCTTTACTAGTACAAAAGAACACTAAAAACGAGAACAATCTTCAACCTGGGGATATCGTGCTTATAGGTTCAGATGATTTGAAGCGCGTTAACTGGCCTTTAGGTCTCATTTTAGAGATATGTTTAGGTGTTGATAATGTCGGTAGGGTAGCACGTGTTAAAACAGCAAAGGGTGAACGTGTTCGTGCACTGCAACGTTTATTTCCTTTAGAGTTATCGAGGTTAGAGAGTATTCAGTTTCCACAGTCATCAGGGTCAAATGATAAAGTCGCAGATCCCACTCTTGAGCCCGACAATCTTTTAACAAAGACAACACGTTCTGGTCGTCCTGTGAAACTGCCTCGACGTCTAAACCTGTGATTTATTTTTATTTTATTGTTGTTCTTTAGCATTGCGCACACGCAAGGTGGGGTGTATGTTATGAAACCTCTTTTTAGTTTAATTTTTATATTTAAAAAGTAATGTATTAAAAAATTATTATTGCAAAAAAGTGACATTATATTTTTCTTTCGGAATTTCCTAAAATATTTTATTTCTATATATAAATCCATTCGTCCTATGTACCTGCTGTCCCAGAACCTATTATCATATATTATATATCACAACATCATCGAATTATCCAATCCATCACATTTATGTTGTATTATGTATTTTTATATTCTTATGAACATGTTATGTGTGTGACTAGTAACAAACAAATAAACGATATATCTATCTATCTATCTATATATATTTTTTCGTAAACACATATACATAATATATTTAGAAAATACCCAGATCGATACGCACAATCATACTCATGAATACAAATGTTTGTGCCGTGAGAGGAATCGAACGCGCGACCAGGGAATGTAAGGCAGAGTGCTAAACCGCTAGACCATCGAGTCCAATAGGTACTTGATATGAATTTAATAAATTGATAAATCGTTGAATGACGTGCACGTACCTGTCAAGAACCCTGATCATTAGCATCTTGATTTTATCATCATGTGTTGGCTTATCATAAGTAGTTGTCTCTACATGATTCTATAATATAATACTATCTGTTGAATAACACTATTAAATAGTGATATGTAAAAAAACTCGTGTCAGTTTGTATGTTATCGAACTCCTCAGAAACGGTGTTAGATATCCCACGATTTATAAATTGACTACCTGCATCCGCTACTTCGTACGCCTGGAATTTAACTTTATTTGTGTAAAATAAAAGATTTTTTCTAAAATAAAAGTAGCCGAAGTTATTCGGTGACGGCCTCGATGGTCTAGCGGTTTAGCACATCGACTTCCAAAAGTCACGGGTTCGATTCCTTGAACTGTACAAACATTTGTATTCATGAGTATGATTGTTTGTATCGGTCTGGATGTTTTCTTTCTATTATATCTGTATATTATGTACGTATTTAAAAAAATCTAAATATTTATATCAGTTGTCTAATACCCATAACACAAGCTCTGCTTACCGTGTGATTAGATGGCGTGTTAATTGTTCAGGGTTATTTATAATTTATATCTTGTTATCAGTAACTGTATTAAGCTTTATAATACCAACATAGCTGTTATATGATTTTCCTTAAAATGCATAAGTCCATATTAAAAAGTAAACATATTTTGGCGCCAAAAAGTGACAAGTAATTTTTAAAAAATAAATTTATTCATAAATTTAAGAGAAGGATAGAGACAATAGAACAATATATTAACAATATACAATATATATGTTATATTGTCTTATTATTGAAATATATAATTATACTGTTAAGTAAATAAATGTTATAAATTTACCTGATTAAATAAATAAATCTTGAAGAAATTAAAAATAATAAAAACATTTTATTACTACAGTTATATATTTCATACTTCTAAAAGAAGATATTCTATTAAATAAAATTTTAGCTGTATATTTAGTAGGTCTGAGATTATTATTATTGTTTTAATTGTATGTTTTATTTTCCCAACTTTATTATTATTATTATTATTATTATACTCGCTTAGATTTTTATTGGTGGTTTTATTTTAATTTGGTCATATTTATTACTAAACCAGCTGCCTCTCCTCGCTGGTGACATGTTGCTGCTACCAATTGTCGTCATGAAGATGTTCTTGAAGGTCGGCCACTCGGATATCTTGCTTTCGAAGGTGGGTAAGGAGAGCTTGGGAAGAAGTACGTCATTACTGATATGGCGGTCGTATGATGGGGCACTTGAAGAGCTTGATCCGCTTGTAGGCAGTCGGTGGGCATCAATAACTTCTTGTAGCGCCGCTCTAGTTGTATAATAACTAGTCTCAACTGCGCTCCGGTCCTCTTCATCTGCAGCTGACTGGTCTCCATGTTTTATATAAATCAATCAATCCAAATAGAACAAATACTCTCGATCATTTATACCTGTATTTTTTTTATTTCTACCCCATCGTCCAGTTCGACTACTATTCGAATTGAGTTCTAATCTTAGTTTAAAACAACTGGCAAGAAATAACAAGAAATAATATTTATTGTTGTTATTTTTTTATCTCGACGTGCACGCTATATCATTATCTACAGCTTCTGATGCAATATGTGACATAGCATCACATCTACGAAGTCAGACAGTGCTATTTCAGAGTAGCTTCCACCCGCTCACTTAGACTGGAATGAACTGAAATGCCTAGATTTTCTCGAGATACTGCAATAGGGGGTTTTACAAGTGTATACTGATGTTTTTTTAAGGATCGACAACGCGCACGTGTCACATTTTATATCCGTTTACCAGATTGGCCATGTGCTTGTATTGTAGTAGTAAAGTATTGTGTTCCATCTAATATGGTTGAGTGCAATGATGGCTGGCTCATCCGTCATACTCGTGAACGGGTGCTGTTTGTGTGAACTGCTCTGTTCGTGTTACGAACACTAATTAGACTGTTTGCCTTTGATAAAATTGCTATAGCATATGCTGGGGGTCACTCTTTCAAATTTGAATTTAAAAATGAATCTGTATTATTGTAAATATGTACAAACATACTTGAAAAGAATACGAGCTGAGTTTCTTGTCTGTTCTTCTCATCTCGTATTGTAAACATGTACAATTGTATTTGAGAAGAATACGAGCCGAGTTTCTTGCCAGTTTTTCGTAGCTCTAAAACACTCCGAACTGATGGTAGATTGGACATATCATAAGAGTCTGTAATAGACCTACATGATTAAACATATTTTGATTTGCTTTGATTTGAAAAAGGAAAAATCTTATGAATGGACGTAGGAGCATAGTACCACAGATAACATAATAGTACCAAATAGGGAGGTATATATAAACCTTACATCTCTATACATTGACCTGCTTCCAATATTCGTCCTTATACAAATGTCCTCGTTTCCTTGTATGTGGGTTATATATTATTTATTTAATGAATATCTACTACAATAATAATTGATGTGAATAATTCCGCGTAGTACGTACCTATAACCTATATTTTGGATAGATAAATATAAGATCTAAATATTTTTTTACATTTATACAAATGTATAGATATATTTTTATAAATATAAAAAAATATTGATGTTTATCTATAAAAAAAAATAGCAGTTTATATCAATCTACTGCCCATAACACAATTTCTGCTTAGCTTGGATCTAGAACGCGCTGTGTGAGTTGTACTGAGTACTTATTATTTTATTATGATGTTATTTCCCTGGAATTGTGCGCGTTAGTTGATCATAAAACATACTATTATCATAGTTTGTTTATTCTAGTTTGCCTGTATGGAGCAGGGTTGTCAACATTAAAAATAATGGCCTTGTAGAAAAAAGGTCAAAAATCTATACTACTTTCATATAAAAAAATTACAATAATACAAGGCATGGCGTGAATATTTTAACAAAAGACCATATGGTATAGAACTACGTGAAGGCAACCCCATCTTTTCCCATGGTTTTTAAACATCAACCTTAATCCTAAATATGAAGTTATAGCACTTAGATTGCGTTCAAGAAATATTAAATTAAACAAATTCGTATATCTGATTAATAGAGTAAACTTCACAAATGTCATATTTGTGAATGGAATTGTTGATGGAATGCATCAAGAATGAGACTGAAAGACAAGTATTGGTTAAATAAACTGAATTTAAGCATGTATCAAAGTATATTATCAGGAAACTCAATCAAAATAATCTATCTAAATTCATAAATTTGCGGATATAAGTTTAAATCAGTAATATTTGTCTTTGGAATGGTATATGAGTATGTAATATGAATGTATATGTAATAAATTTAGAAGCTAAAACGGAGCTAACATACTGACTATTGTAATCATTAGCTCCTTAATAAATAATAATAATAATAATAATATGAAAGCTGATACTGAGAAAAAGAGAAAATATCTCGACCTGGCTCACGAGGTGACCGAAATGTGGGGGGTGGTGTCCACCAAAATCATTCCGATCGTTATATCGGTGAACGGTCTTATCCCAACCAGTCTGGAACAACATCTCAGACGGTTGGGATTCTGAGGCGGCTCACTCCCGGGAAAGATTTCCTAAAACATGTTGTGTTCATCCCCCCTCCAATCGATCCTCCCTCCAATTCAAACGGGGATCGAAATTTCAACGGCCTGAGTGGAGGTTCGAATCCCTAGCGGTGCCCTCAGATTAAATCATTTCCGTCAGGCGGGAGTTGGCCCTTAGTCGCTCCATAAGTCCTTCCGCGGGTTTGGAGTGCCATCTGCACTCGTCCCCTATCGTCTGGTGAAGTTGTAAGGCCAGCTGCGGCCAACAGCATTAGAATAGTCCGAAAAAAAATATTCTGCGACACCGGCGGCGTTGGCCCGCCCTATAGATGGTGTAGTGCCCGTCTCGCGTTTGGCAGCCCTGTTGTGGAGGGACAGTTGTTAGGTTATGGTCAAATTACGGTCACGCACCAACAAAAACCACGGTCGATATCAAGGGAACTTTTTGTATCATCTTTTTGTCTTATCTTCATTATAAACTGATGTTTATAATACGCTACAAAGAAAATCAATAGTGAGGAATAAGTTGGACTAAAATTTTAGTTGTTTATAGTACTGTAGCTGTTACCCGCAACTTCGTCAGAATGGAATTAAAATAAATGAAATTTCTAAAATAAAAGTAGCCTAAGTTACTCTTTATAATGTTAGCTATTGCAATTGAAAGTCCCATCAAAATTGGTACGGCCGTTTCAGAGATTAGTAAGAAAAAATAGTCAGTTAGATAAGTACCGTATATGTTTTCATTACCATTCAGTGAATAGTTATTAATTTGAAATTACAAACAGACACTTTTATTTTATTTAGAAAATCGGCTTTACTAATCCTGAGGCGCCATACATTTCGCTGGTAAGCATCGTCATTTGATAGTCCCAACTCATTCATGTC